AGGCCAGCCTGGGCTACCAAGTGAGTTCCAGGAAAGGCGCAAAGCTACACAGAGAAACCCTGTCTCGAAAAAACCAAAAAAAATAAAAATAAAAAAATAGTTGGTGGGTTCAAAGTGCAGCTCTAACAAAAAAGACAGGGCGTTTAAAGTCCAAAATGTCACTTTAATATAAACAGCCACTAGTGTTTCAGGTCACCATATTCCTGCACTGACTCACTGTCCATATCTTTAGAGGTGGACAGTGCTAATGTCATGAGTCCTTTGGGATGCAGTGGGATTCTATTATTGCTGATTCCTTTCCTGCTCTTGCTTTCTTCCCTGCCTGTAGTTCCTCTTTGTGTTCATCTTGGGCATCACCAGGATGAAGTCCCGTTTCTTATCAATAGAGGCTGCCACAGTGTTGACACTTCTGCTCCAGGTCCTTCTGATCTTCCTCAGAAAACCTGTATTTCTCTGTGAGCACATTTCACCTGAAGCTGCTTCATAGCAGTCATTCTTCTGGGTAAAGTCTACAGGCATCTGGAAAAGGGTCTTGAAGCTGCTACATGGTTCCTGTCAGGCTGGAGAAGGCATGCACTGGGCATCACCTGGCCATGAGCTTATCTGTCATTTGAATCTTGAGTAGCTTCTACTCAATCTTCAGAAACCTCATCTGCAAAACTGTCGCCTGCCTCTTGAGAGTTTTTGTTTCTAGAACCAGACAGCCATGGGGGAACTTGTGCTACCTTGCCCAAGAGGAAAATGTGGCAGGCAGAGATCATGCCAGGCTGGTAGCCACTGCCTGTTTCTTTGCAGCAGGGGCCAGAGTACAGCTGAAAAGAGGGGGCGGGGCAATGCTTGCTGCTGCAGCAAACCCTGACTACTTGGTCCCCCTCTGCAAGACTTCCAGGCTGGTACCCTTCAGACTATTACCTCCATGCCATTCTTACCCACCTGTGCTATAGTTCCAACAATGGGTAACTCAAAGATTTCTTATGTAAGTCACCAAAAAAAGTACATGCTATAGAAGAAACACTGCTAGAGTTCATCATACATAAAAATTTAAAAACATGTGCTCTTCAGAAGATATTTTATTAGTGAAAGCATCAGCCACAACCAGAGAGAAGATACTGATTAAACACATATCTGGGAGGAAGGACTTGTATGCAGAGTATGGAAAGCAAATAACTAAGCAAGGTGGCTCAGTGGGTATTGGCATTTGCAATACTCAGAAGCCATATGGTGGAAGGAGACATTTGGAAGTTGTCCTTAGATCTTCACATGTGTGCCATGGCATGTACTCACCACACACATTCACACACACACAAATACATGCACACAAAATAAATAGAGAAAAAGAGATCCTTGGTAAGAAACTGGGTATGGTGGCCAAAGTCTGCAAAGCCAGAATTCAGGAGGCAAAGGCAGGAGGATAGCAGCAAGTTCAAGGGCAACCTGGGCTACATAAAAGAGACTCTGTCTCAAAGACAACCCAAAACCACAGCTCAACAAGAACAAAAACATCCAATTCAGATATGGATACAGGTGTAAATACACACCACTAAAACATACCTGGGTATAACCACACACTCCACAGCACCCGTTATTAAACAAATGCAAATTAGATTATAAGAACACAAACATTACTAGGTATCAGCTAGTAGGAAGACAACTTTTTATTGTTGTTGAGACAGGGTCTCATATGTATCCCAGGCTAGCCAGGAACTATCTATGTAGCCAAAGATACCTTAATCTTTTATTCTCCTGCTTACACTCTGTGAGTGCTGGGGAGGACAGATATTCACCACCATGCCTGGTTTATATCAAACCCATGGCATCATACATGCTAGGCAAACATTCTACTAACTGAGCTACACCCCTAATCCAGGTAAATGCTTTTAAAAAACTGAAAAATAAAGACCAGGTGAATGGAGCAACTGCCATATACTGCTGATGAGATATGTTAAAGACCACACTCAATGAAAGAAGACAGATCCAAATGGCCACACACTATGGGATATCATTTATGAGATGTGCTGGGAAAGGTAAACTATAGGTTCAGAAATAAGAACAGTAATGGATTAAAGGATGAAAGGAGTGACTGACTGAAAAGGCACATGAGGGGCCTTTGAACTTTTATTACTGCATGTAATGTAGTTTCTAGGAACTAAATTCGTGTCACCAGGCGTTCACAGTGCTGTGCACTGAGCCACCTCACTGCCCATGATGGGCCTCTTGGGGGCGACAGAGTGCAGTTACCTAAGCTCTGTGGCAGTGGCTAGCCAGCTATGCGAATACATCCAACTCTGTACTGGAACTTAACTGCATGAAAACTTTCTCTCAATTATCTTGACAAGAAATTAATAAAATAAAAAACTAGCATAAAACAAACTTGAAAAAGAGCTAGGTGAAATTATTCTAAGAAAATGAACCTTACAGATGTTCCAACTGCAGAGTCATCATGAGGATGTTCTCAAGCGTCGTCAGTTGCACTTGGGTTGTTCCCAGGTCTCTGAAGGAGAAAGCCAGATTTCATGAGGAACCATTTTCGTCACATGTGGTTACTTAAACCCTGGCTCTCCTATGAAGCTATCTGGCTCAGGAGTAAGTAAGCCCGTCAGAGAAGAAACTTCTATAGAGCTTACGATATCTAAGGCTACCACTTACACCATCCACTTAACGAGATGGCATTGAATAGAATTGTCTTCTTACTTCTCATTTTCATATTGCATGATCACATTACTACTACTTTCTATTTCCTGTTCTTTTTAAAAATAGTATACACTTATGCTTCTTTGCTTTCTGAAACAATGATATACTCTTTCTCTTGACTTATTCTGTGTGTATATGTATCTGTGTGCCTAAGCAGATGCACGTGAATGTGTGTGGGTGCCATAGAAGCCAGAAAAGAGGACTGGATCTCTTAGGGCTGCAGTCAAAGTGTGTTGTGAGCTACCCACGTAGGTGTTAGGATTCAAATGCTAGGACTCACAACAGAGCTGCAAAAGATCTCAACTGCTGAGACCAGCTTTGTCCATGTTGCATATCTCTCTATGATCTTTAATACTGGTCTTTCCCCAGGCTGAATGTCTTTATTTATGCTTTCTTCATCATTTTCTTTGTTAATAACATTTGAAAGGATTAATTTTATTTTAAATTATGTGTACATGGATCCGTGTGTGGTAATCTATGAGTATAGGTATCTATGAAGGCCAGAAGCATCAGATTCTTCCAGAGCTGGAAACAAAGGCAGTTATGATCAGCCAGCTTGGGAGCTAGGAATCAAAACTTAGGTTCTCTGCAAAAGTAGCATATACTCTTCTCTTAACTACTGAACCATCTCTCCAGCCCTTTAATAGCATTTTTAAATAATCAAGTTAAAACTGAAATTGTGACTTTTTCATCCTTAAGACAAAATACTCTTTGATGGGCAAGGTAGGGGACAGAATACAGAAAGGAATAACACTAAAGACCTTTTGAAAAAGTTGTATGGAAACTTCTACCACTACAGAAGATATCTCACAGAGAGAGAGGGGGGGGGAGAGAGAGAGAGAGAGAGAGAGAGAGAGAGAGAGAGAGAGAGAGAGAGAGAGAGGAGG